CGCCTGGCCGCCGCGCTGCCACTCGTGCTCTACTCTGCTTATCTCTCCCTCTCTCTCCCTTCCACTATGTCTCGTCTCCGTCTCGTTTTTGGGACATTCGCCTTGCTTGAAGTCGGGAGGCAGTGGGCGTCCCTTTCGCTTTCGCCCGGCGCCCGCGGCGTGCAGTCCAGGTCGGCTGTACGGGTAAGCGATGTCCAGCCTCGTCGCCACTCGGCATCCCAACAAAACCTGGTCACTCCGCTGCCGACCAAGACGGTGGACGACCCGGCACTGGCCTAGGCACAGCTTGTTCGCTGACCCTTCTCGGTGCCAGGACGTGGTTGTTCCGCAGTAACACCTTCTCTCCGGGCAATCCCACCCGACTGCCTCGCACGGGCTGGTCCGTGTTCCGGCGCAGTCCGGGGCCGCCAGGTGATGCGTGATGCCCGGCCGCGTGCAGACAGCCCCAGCGCAGGCCGTGCACAGCTGCCGTTGCCGCGCGCTCGCCCGCCAACATTTCGCTTTCCTCGGCCCGTCTTGCTCTAAAAATTGCGGTCGCTTCACGCACGGCGGCGTCGCGTCGTGACTTGTCGGCCCTGTTGGAGAGCGTGCCACGCCGGCCGCGCAGTCGGCCGCGTGGTGCCAGCGCCGAACCCCGCCGCCGCCAGTGACGGCTGACCCGACCCTGGACAGCCGACCCGCCACGGCGGCAGCCGACCTGACCTGTGACGGCCGTCAGAGCCGGTGACGCCAATGGCCGGTGAGTCCGGGCAGCCTGGGTCAGCCTGGCTTCGTCTAATCAACCTGGGTCAGCCTGGCTTCGTCCGATCAGCCTGGGTCAGCCCGGCTTATTCCGATCAGCCTGACCAGGCTGCTCAGCCCGGATCATCCTGACTTAGCCCGGTCAGCCTAGGTCGGCTTGGATCAGCCCAGGCCAATCTGGGTGTTCTGGGTCACCCCGATTACACCGGGCGAGCCTGGTCGGGCTTGGTCAGCCTGGGCCAGCCTGGTTGGCGGAGACTGAGTGTGAAAGCATCCGGCATGGGCGGAAAATCCTGGAAAGAAACTATCAATTGTCTTGGGCTTTTCTGATCTGCATCCGAAAACCGTTTGCTTTGGACATTAACAAAATATGTGTAGGAGAAACCGGAATCGTAGCTCCTTCATGAGAACCCAGCTTTCTGGTGTTTAGCACGGCGAGCGCCATGGTACGCGAAATACGAATGCACAGGGCAATGCTATGCCAGCATCATTCCACACATGTTTTTGCTTTGTGACCACTTTTACCCTCTGACAGGAAGTTGATTCGTCTGACCAGTTTTTGCCTTTCTTTGAGAGAGACTGTTCAAGAATTTCGGCGTTGTCACATGATTGAATGGCTAAAGCGATCAGAATACCTGACCGTCGCGATCTGGTGCTTACAGACGGAAGCACACGTTTTGTTGCTTGTTGGCCGGATGCCAGCTGGAGGATAAAGTCAAGCGAGCTGCAGCAGCTTAGCGTTTAGAACCCAAAAGGGACGATGCTCCGATTAATGCCCATAATGCATGCTGAGATGTTGATTAGCTCAGTTTTTTAAAAGGCTGAGTGTAAAATAGCCTCTACATAAAACCTGATTATGATGTTGAATTCATCTTCGGTCCACTGAGAGTGCTTACATCTTCAGTGGCACGCAGTAATGGCTGCTGCATCTTGCCCCGGGTCTGGGATAGCAACTGGGAGCTTAAGATGATTTTTTTATTTCCCGCTCTAAAGATTTCATTACCCCAAACGCGTCACGCCAGTGCAGGCAATTATGGTGTTGTACACTCAGTTGCACATCACAGAATGACCTATATACGTGTAGTTTTTGTATCAGTTGTAATGACGAATCAAACGTACAAGTGGCGTCCGTGAATTCTAAGGCTTCATGCATGCCAGGCGCCGGGACCACAGAACAAAGCCCTGGCTGGGGTTCACAGACGGCCACAGGCGATTGCGTCGGTGGCGCCGGTGGCCTCTAGCGTCCGAGCCACTGACCTCGGGACACAGCGCCGCTTCCTGCGGACACTTTCTCGGAACCGCGGCGAATGTGGCTCACCTGCTGCCGGTCAGCTGGCGCGGACGACCTTCTACCCTCCGGTCACGTGCGTCGCCTCCAGGTGTGTGACGTCACCTCCAGGTTGCCTCACAGCCGGGGCGTCAAATCACGAGCGTTTCAAAACAACCATATTGTTGTTTGGTTCAGTCCCGAGATGGTGCAAGTAAAATATGGGGACAGGGGTCGGGATGCACCAGTTGGCACGGGATGGCACCATTCTGACGTGCCGAGGACAGGATGAGCGCTCCTCTGTTCCTGTCGCTCTTGTCATCATCGTCGGCCATGACCCCAAAACATGCCAGATAGCACTGTGTAAGGCCTTTGATAGTTTTCTCCACACCTAAAAGACAACGTCAATGTCACTTACACACAACAGCGCGCACCGCAGGCAGAGGGAGACGTCCCCCACCCCCCCTCCCCCTCCGGACCGGCTCTCCCGTGGAGGCACTGCCTCATCTGCCTGGCCCATTACGGGGAGCGACCTGCACTGGCGCACAGCAGACGAGCACCAGCGGCGGGAGCACGGAGCGTTGTGTTTTCGTCCCGCGGTCACTGACCGGCCTTGCGAAGGTCCGCGCGGTGACCGACAGCGGATCGAGCCGAAAAAGACGGCCACGCCCCGCCCCGCCGGGCAGGCAGTGAAAGTGCATCCCGCGCGGGACGGTGTCCTCGCTAGTGTTGTTCCTCGGCTGGGCTTCCGCCTCGTGTGAACAGGGGACTTTCCCACCCTCGTGTGAACAGGGGACTTCCCACCGGTCGTGTGAACGGTGCTTGTGTCTCCGCGAATCCCGCCTGCCCACTCCCGGCTGATGACACCTGCCTCCCTCAGCCGTGTTTATGTCCGATGAACCCCACGCTCAAGGTCATATTTGCGACCCGCTGCCCCCTCCCCAGCTTTCTAGCACAGAATGTTAACCACCGCTGTTGCCAGTTGTGGGCGGGCGGGTGTTGCCAGTTGTGGGCTGGATCCCCTGATAAATGATGCGCCGATAGACCTCGCCGACATTAGCCCCCAACGGTGAGGGCTTACACTAGGACCCGCATTAGCCCCCAACGGCGAGGGCTTACACCAGGACTCGCATTAGCCCCCAACGACGAGGGTTTGCACCAGGAATTACCTCTTTGCCTCCACATGGGTCCCGCTAACGACATCCAACAATATCCGTGTAAAACATTCACGTATGCCGCAACTTGAGATTCATGGGTCCTGCTAACGACATACAACAATATCCGTGTAAAACATCACGTAGGCCGCAACTTAAGATTCATGGGCCCGCTAACGACATCCAACAATATCCGTGTAAAACATTCACGTATGCCGCAACTTAAGATTCATGGGTCCTGCTAACGAGATACAACAATATCCGTGTAAAACATTCACGTATGCCGCAACTTGAGATTCATGGGTCCTGCTAACGACATCCAACAATATCCGTGTAAAACATTCACGTATGCCGCAACTTAAGATTCATGGGTCCTGCTAACGACATCCAACAATATCCGTGTAAAACATTCACGTATGCCGCAACTTGAGATTCATGGGTCCTGCTAACGACATACAACAATATCCGTGTAAAACAATCACGTAGCCGCAACTTAAGATTCATGGGTCCCTAACGACATCCAACAATATCCGTGTAAAACATTCACGTAGGCCGCAACTTAAATTCATGGGTCCTGCTAACGACATCCAACAATCCGTGTAAAACAATCACGTAGGCCGCAACTTAAGATTCATGGGTCCCGCTAACGACATCCAACAATATCCGTGTAAAACAATCACGTAGGCCGCAACTTAAGATTCATGGGTCCTGCTAACGACATACAACAATATCCGTGTAAAACAATCACGTATGCCGCAACTTAAGATTCATGGGTCCCGCTAACGACATCCAACAATATCCGTGTAAAACATTCACGTATGCCGCAACTTAGATTCATGGGTCCTGCTAACGACATCAACAATATCCGTGTAAAACAATCACGTAGGCCGCAACTTAGATTCATGGGTCCCGCTAACGACATCCAACAATATCCGTGTAAAACATTCACGTATGCCGCAACTTAGATTCATGGGTCCTGCTAACGACATCAACAATATCCGTGTAAAACATCACGTAGCCGCAACTTAAGATTCATGGGTCCTGCTAACGACATCCAACAATATCCGTGTAAAACATTCACGTAGCCGCAACTTAAGATTCATGGGTCCCGCTAACGACATACAACAATATCCGTGTAAAACATTCACGTATGCCGCAACTTGAGATTCATGGGTCCTGCTAACGACATCCAACAATATCCGTGTAAAACATTCACGTATTGCCGCAACTTAAGATTCATGGGTCCCTAACGACATCCAACAATATCCGTGTAAAACATTCACGTATGCCGCAACTTAGATTCATGGGTCCTGCTAACGACATACAACAATATCCGTGTAAAACAATCACGTAGGCCGCAACTTAAGATTCATGGGTCTAACGACATCCAACAATATCCGTGTAAAACATTCACGTAGGCCGCAACTTAAGATTCATGGGTCCTGCTAACGACATCCAACAATATCCGTGTAAAACAATCACGTAGGCCGCAACTTAAGATTCATGGGTCCCGCTAACGACATCAACAATATCGTGTAAAACAATCACGTAGGCCGCAACTTAAGATTCATGGGTCCCGCTAACGACATGCAACAATATCGTGTAAAACAATCTCGTAGGCTGTAACTTTAGATTCATAGA